TTACTCCTCTGTCCCGGGCACCCACCCAGGGCACCCTCCTGCACCCACCCAGCCTGTCTCAGAGTCCTGTGGTCGATGACCATTGCTGGCTTCTGTGCTGTTCCCGACCTTGACGGYTGGAGGAATCCTGGTCGGGTCCTTCTTAGGCTGCGCTTGTTCTTATCTTTTCCTGGTGCACTACAATTGCACAGGACAATGGGATTCGTTGACACAGGATAGGCCAACATCACTCCCAGCTGTAGACTGTTCTTTAACTTGGATCGTCCAGTGCTTTTCTCTGACACCACAGTGGTGAAGTTCCCCTTTGGGTCACATAACATCATAGGGGATAAAGGGTGTCACATGACATTCACTTGACTACCGCGGTCATGTTCCCTGGAGGCCCTGGCTGAGGCGCCGTCTGTTAGGAGTCTACTGCAGAGTTGTGGGCTTTTGTCCTTTCCATACTCTTGTTAGGAAGGAGTCACCGAGCCCAGAGCCCACGCGCTCCCACCACCCCACCACGGGGGTCACACTCCCCTCCCTCAGTTAGCTATCCATTCAGTACTTGATTCCTATTGTCTGGATTCAGGGATGGTCATCCCATAATCCAATATTCTCCTAGTTGTTCCATTGCTCATTGTCCCCTGGGGGCCCTTTCAGCTCACAGTCTCAATTATTTTGCCCTCAGAGCAACTTTTCAACTCTTGGGCACCACAAGATGCTCCAGGCTCACCTTTCCCCTGTTCCAGCTGTAGAATCAGACATTTGTCAAAGAAATAAATATTTCTAAGTCAAGTCCTCTAATTATCTCATTGGTAAGGCACACACTGCACCGCCTTCCAGTGCACAATCAAAAGAATCCATTTGCTCAGTTAYCATTTAAAACTTACATCGGGGGCTGGGGATGTGGCTCAAGCGGYAGCGCGCTCGCCTGGCATGCGTGTGGCCCGGGTTCGATCCTCAGCACCACATACAAACAAAGATGTTGTGTCCGCCGAKAACTAAAAAATAAATATTAAAAAACTCTCTCTCTCTCTCTCTCCCTCTCTCTTTAAAAAAATAAAATAAAACTTACATCGGTTTTGGTAGACCAGCTTTGACAAGTTTGATTTTGGTCTTTTCCTTTTGGTACCAGGGATTGAACCCAGGGGCACTTAACCATGGAGCCACATCCCCAGATCTATTTTGTATTTTATTTAGAGACAGGGTCTCACTGAGTTGCCTAGGGCCTGGCTTTTGCTGAGGCTGGCTTTCTTTCTTTTTTTTTTAACTTATTTATTTTTTAGTTGTACTTGCACACAATACCTCTATTTTTATGTGGTGCTGAGGATCGAACCCAGGGCCTCACACATGCTAGGCGAGTGCTCTACTGCTGAGCCACAACCCCAGCTCCCTGAGGCTGGCTTTCAACTCAGATCCTCCTGTCTCAGCCTCCGGAGCCGCTGGGATTACAGGCCTGCGCCACCATGCCTGGCTCTTTTTATTTTTTGAGACAGGGTCTCACTAAGTTGCTTAGGGCCTCACTAAATCGCTGAGGCTGGCCTTGAACTTGGGATCCTCCTGCCTCCATCTCCCCAGCCACTGCTGAGATTACAGTCATTTGCCACTGCACCCAGCTCACAACAGATAGTTTTAAAATGTAGAAAGAGCCTCAAAACACAGGAGGGGCCTGAGCCCTTCCCTAGGTCCGGGAGCCCTTGTTGAATTCTTCAGCCTCTCTGCTAAGTTAGGGGGGCGTTCCACAGACAGAGGCGGCCTAGCTCCTGGTGCCCTCCCCAGGCTGAGCTGCCTGAGGTCATTCCTGGGATCTTCCCATGTCCAGCCTCACCCACAGACCCCAAGAGGTGACCAGCTGAGGAGTTCTGTAGCCTTCACCATGGCTGGCTGGGCACAGGCAGGTGGCCAGGGGACAGGCAAGCTCCAGGAAGGGACGGGCAGCCAAGGCTCCAGGAAGGGGGTGCAAGAGGTGGGCGGGGCGCTGGTCAGCACCATTGGGTCCACAGGGCTCCTGGGGATGGGACTGAGGTGTGCAAACTCCAGCTCTCCGTGGAGCAGGGGCTCCCCAGAGCAGCCCTGGGTTCTGCAGAAGAGCTTCAGCTTCTCAGGAAGGAGCTGCCGTCAGGAGCAGGAAGAGAACGAGACTTCAGAGGGCAGGGAGGCGTGTGACTCATGGCCCAGTCCTGCCAGCTCCCATAGCACGTGCCGGACAGCATGGGGCCTGGAGCGTGGGTGGAATCCCAGCCCGGTCCTGGCCAGAAGGAGGTCCAAGGTTGGCCACAGCAATTCAGCATGTAGGGAGGGCACAAGCAGGGTGCAGCGGGAGCCCCAGGAGGAAGCCGCATCTCCAGCGTCTCAGGAGTCCCAGCAGGACTCATGGGGGAGGTGACATCATCAGAAAGATGGATGGAACTGGCCAGGCAGCCATCAGGTGGGGTGGGGAGGGCACTCCCGCTGAGAGACGAGCAGAAGCAGAGGAAAAGTGTCTTCCAGGGCTGGCACAGTGCCCACCCCTCAAGCCCTCTCCAAACGTGAGGCATGATCACTGTGGCAAGTTATTAGTCTCATTATTATATTAACCTGGACACATCACTTAATATTTTTCCCATCTTAAAGGCAGTTACTGCAATGAGTAAGTGCCTGCCACCCCTGAGCTCTCCTGGTCCACAAGAGGGGCGGTGACGGGGACATAGTTGCACTGTGCCCGGCTGCAGTGACTGTGTGTGCTCAACTCTGACACAGAGCTGGCTCCGTGTCCCCTTGCTCCACAGTCCTGGGGGCTGGAGAGACACAGAGAGGGGGACACTTGGGGTCTTCAAAGGCACAAAAACAAGTACATAATGAGGTGGGRTCAGGCAAGCCCAAGGGACAGCCTCAGACCTGACCTGCCATGCACATGCCCTCCTCCTCGTGGTCTCCTGCGGCCTCCCCATGAGCAGGAGTCCAGGGCCTTGCGCAAGGCACTTACCTTTCCTACTCCCATGAGCCATTATTTCTTCAACTCTGCAACTGGGAAGACACATGGAGAATATCAAAGGGACTCAATGTGTGTGTGTGTGTGGGGGGGGGTTTGAACCCAGGCATGTAATAGAAAAAAAAATTAAAAAACTCATGACATTTTGAATGGATAAATAACCAGGAGTATATTCACAAAATGGAGTACTGGTCAGTAGTAAAATAAATAAATTATAGGTAGGTAATAGACATGGATTTTTAAAAACATGCAGTGTGAAAAAGGAAGCACACGGGCCGCGKTAGTAGCTCAGTGGGTAGAGCACTCGCCTGGTATGTGTGAGGCCCTGGGTTCGATCCTCAGCACCACATAAAAATAAGTAAATAAAATAAAGGCATCGTGTCCAACTACACATAAAAAATAAATATTAAAAAAGGAAGCACATAATTATAGAGTGATTCTATTTACATAAAGGAAAACAGAACAATATAGTATTGAAGGATTTATACGAAGGTGGTTTAAAAAAAGCCAGAGAACGACTAGTGCCAATCCAGGAAAGTGGTTCCTCAGGATGAGTGAAGGAGATTGCCAGGGGCACCCAGAAGGCCTCAAAAGTACAGGCTGCTTGTTTGCTTGTATGTTTGTTTGTTCCTGGGAGTGAACCCAGTAGCGCTTAGCCACTGAGCCACATCCCCAGCCCTTTTAAAAACTGCTCTTATTTTAATTTTGAGACAGAGTCTTGCTAAGTTGCTTCTTTGAACTTGAGATCCTCTTGCTGCAGCCTCCCAGGTGGCTGGAACGACAGGCGTGTGATGCCCAGCTTAAGTACTGGTATTTTTAAGTTAGATGATAAATGCATGGTTTTTTTTGAAGTGAATACTGTTATTCTTTAAGCTGTACCTGTACATGGTGTCTTTTACAATACATATTTTTTATTATAACAAAATAGTACCCTTACAGGACAGGTGCTTTTAAGAAGGCTGAGATGACGTAATTAAAGTACCAGCACAGAGTAAGAAGCACTTAGTTTTGAGCTCTTTGGGCATCAGTGTCCCCATCTGCAAGACAACTGGATGGCACGATGGAGACTTTGTCCTCTAGCTTATGGATTCTCTATGGCCAGCCCTCCCAGACTGAAAGTCAGCTCCCCCTACCCGGGGCCATTGGAGGCTCCTGAGATGGCACTGATGCACTGGACCAGGAGCTCCTGGTCCTGGTTCCAAGTCTCTCTAGCTGGGGCGATTTAACTTTTTCTGAATTTCCCAAAGGCAAGTGGGCACAATAATCTCTGTCTTCCTTATAAAAGCCCCTGGGTAGACACTGTAAAGTGCTGTTCACATGTGAGGAATCATAACCAACTGACCCAGGACCTACAGGTATCCTCATGGAGGGGGTGGGTGCTTCCTCCAGTGGAGCCATAGATAACAGTATCCTTCCATGAACAGATGGGGATTGGTGTCAATGTCCCTTCTTTCCCTGGGTTTTCTCCCACTCGTTGTGCATCATCCTATTTTAGAAGGTGCTTACATCAGAAAAAGTGTACCTGATCCTGAGTGTGGCGCGCCTCTGGGTAACCGCTTCAACCACGACCGATCATTGGGAGTCCTGGCTCCATCTGAGAAGTGCCTGTCTGGGTGTACCTCTCTTTAAAACTACGGTCCCACCTTTGCGTACCAGATTCATTTCGCGCGCATCCTTTTAAGTTCTTCAATTTGAACGATGAAAACTGTACCTGTTCTTGTACTGCTGGTGCGAACCTCCGTCGGCCCTTACCTGACGGGTGCGCATACCTGGTGACCTCACGCAGAGGGGATGCAGGCGGCCGGTGCGCTCCACCCGCAGGCAGCCGCAGGCAGGTCACGCCGCCGCAGGGCCGGTCAGCGCGTCGGGGGCTGCGCGCGCCGACCCTGCACTGGCGGGGCGGGGCGAGGCGCAGGGGCCGGGGGCGGGGCGAGGCGCAGGGGCCGGGGGCGGGGCCGAGCCCGGGGGCGGGGCGGGCGCGAGGGGCGGAGCAGGAAGGGGCGACGGCCCTGCCCGGCTTCCGCGTCACGGTTCTTAAAGCACCTGCCTCGCCCCCTGCGGTACAAAGGCGCCGGGGACTCGGCCCCATGGATCCGCCGCCGGCCGCGGCTGGGGCGCAGCGGGGTGAGGCGCGCGGCGGGCCCCGGGGAGAAGGGAGCGGGGAGGGCGCGGCGGGGTCCGGCTTCCCCGGCTCCTCTAGACCCCCTCCAACTTAGCTCAAGTTGGAGGAGCCCCGGGGAGGGTCCCGAGGTCCTGRGGCAGCTCCGCGACAGTGCGGGTCTCTACCGGGACAGCCTCCGCGTCACCGGCGCCCGGGAGCCAACCAGAGTCTCCCAGCAACTTTTTTCTCCAGTGGGTCACCCCGGAAACTTGCCCTCCCGCGGCCCGGGAGGCTGGCCCCGGCCCTGCCCCTTCTAGGCCTGGGTTCTGAGTGTGGGGCGGCGGGCGGATGAAGGCGATGACCTCAACGGGGAAGCCCCCCACCCTGGCCCGCCAGCCCACTGGCCCCGTGGCCCCCACATCCCCGAGCGCACTTCCCGCCCAGGTTTCCGTATGAGAGCCCCGCCCCTGCCTTCTGGGCCCCGGCCCCCCCCTCCCCGTGTTAGCGTGAGGGGTTGGGCTTGGGGGTGGGATCAGACCAACTTCAAATTCTTGCGTCACCAGCTAACAGTTGGAAGACCTTGAGCAAGTTCTTAGCGCCCGTGCCTCAGTTTCCCCCTTTATATAATGGGAAAGATAATCCTTAGCTGAGAGAGCTTTTGAGGGGACAACCTGAGCCGACATAGTGTCACCAGTCCAGTRTTGCCTCATCCTGTTGGGAAGGGCAGGCAGGAGAGGGGATGAGAGCAACATTCCCCATCCCTAAYCCTGTGTTGTCCCATAGGAGCTGTGACAGGTGCCTTCCAGGAGTGTGAGATATGAGTGGCACCCGAGGACAGAGGCCTGTCCAGGAAGCCAGCCCCACCATGAGTCTGTGGGGGCTTGAGGACAGCCACAGCTGTCGCGGTACCCCCCGGCCTGCCCAGGAGCCCACCCCAGAGGAGGCATCAGCTTTGGAGCTACAGATGAAGGTGGACTTCTTCCGGAAGCTGGGCTACTCATCCTCTGAGATCCACAGCGTCCTGCAGAAGCTGGGGGTCCAGGCAGACACCAACACAGTGCTGGGGGAGCTGGTGAAGCATAGCGCAGCTAACGAGCATGAGCGCCAGGCCTCTCAAGACCCCGGCCCTCAGCTCCCTCTGGTGCCCCGGGGTGGGGGCACCCCCAAGGCCCCCAGCCTGGAGCCCTCACTCCCAGAGGAGGACAAGGAGGGCAGTGACCTGAGGCCAGTGGTCATCGATGGGAGCAACGTGGCCATGAGGTACGCGTCACTTCTGTGGAGATGAGTGGAGAGGTGGCTCTGTCCCTGCTGTTCTGTGGAGGAGCTTTCAGGCAGGAGTTGACTTCTCTGGTGGACTGGGCTAGAGGAAGGGAAAGCCCTTATGAGGGCCTGTTTCATGCCAGGAGGCTCCCTTAAGCCTTGTGACAGGTCATASGGATGAAACTCAGGCTCAAAGCCTTGTCCAGGGTCACACTACTGGTAGCTAGTGGAGCAAGGATTGGAATTCAGGTTCTGTGTCCCCAGAATTCCCTTTATGTTTGGGTTTCCTGAGGCCAGCCATGTCCATCTAAATTCCTCACCTGTAACAGGAGGCGAGACCGTGGCGGCTGCGGATTTGCCTGTGAGCGCCAGTGCTCCAGATGGGAGTGGTTACTTAGCCACTCTGGGCTTTATCTCCTGCTGCTTCAGGTGGTCATTGTGAGAGCAAAGGCATGGCACCTGGAAAGTCACAGGTTTTCAGTGAACAGGAGTTGTTGTTACTGTTCAGGGCCTGGGTCTTCTGAGGCCTTCCTGTCCCAGGCCTGGGCTCCCAAGGAAGCAGGCCCAGCTACTGAGACCTTCAGGGCTGTGACCTGGAGTGACCTCAAGGCTGGCTCTGATTCTCCATGGGGTGTGGGTGGGTGGCCTGATGCTCTGGCCTCAGGTGACCCAAGTCTCTGCTAGACTGGTCTTTGGGGCTCCCAGAGCCAAAGTCAGCATACAGCCCCCTAACTGTGGCCCCCTATGTGGGGAGGGGTGGGAGCCGAGGATGAGGCCAGGGTTGCTCCCGACCTGAGAATCTGACTTCTCCCTTGGATCTGTGGCCCCACCTTCCCTGCTGCTTTCTCCCAGTTCCCTTCGAGGTGGCTGGTGAGTCAGGACGGGTGGATCACTCATCAGGAAAAGTTCCTGTTGGCAGGGATGCGGGGAGACCCCAGACACAGGGCGGGAGGCGGTGTGAGCACCTTCCCCGCTTCCCTGAGGACTCTCCCAGTCAGCCTCTGCCCTCCACCTGCTCCAGCCCAGCAGGGCAGACCAGGTCAGCTGGTCCTGGCCTAGCTCAGCACAAGCGCAGGGGAGCCCCTTCCGCACCATTCCCATTCCTGAGCTGGGTAGGTCCTGGATGGGAGGCTGAGAAAAGGGGGCTTCCATGCCAGAGGGAGGCAGGTCACAGGAAGGTCGGGTCCCCTCACGCTCAAGCCTGAGCCAGGCTGAGGAGCTAGGATGAGCCTGTGACTCTGCCCCTGTGGGCCTCAGGCCCACAGAAGTGGCTGAGCCCTGGGGACAGCCATGTGCTGTGTGTATTTGTGTCCTGGTAAAAGGAGGAGGAGCCTGGGAGGAGGGATGAGGGCAGCAGTGGGGGGCACTTGGGAGCTGACCCTGGAGACAGCACTGCCTGCCCGCCTGCCTGCTGGGGGTTTCTGAGCTGGGGCTGTGGCAGGAGGGGAATTCCAGCTTCACACTTCCTGTCTCAGCTGTYGCTGGGTTCCTGCCCTGATGCCCCCTCCCCCCAGGGGCAGGCAGGCTGGCTAGCCCCCACCATATGCAAATCGTGGGGAAATTCACCTCTGTTTCCTTCTAAGGGAATTTTTCTCCTCTAATCAGACCCAGCCCAGGCAGGTCTTTTCACCTGGGGAGCCGGCCCAGCCCTGCCTCTGTCCTGGGGCAGGAACAKCGGCTGGAGGCTCCCAGTACACATCCTATCAGTCTCCTGGGCCAGGCTGGGGGGCCCTGACCTCCTGGGCAGTTAGGACTCAGTGAGGGTGAGGAAAGGTCTGGTCTCCTGAGCCCACAGAGCTCTCCACTGCAGGAAGAGGAGGGCTCCACCTGCTGAGAGTAGATGTCCCCACCAGGGTGTTTGGTGCCCACAGGCAGGACACCAGGTCCCAGGGCTTGAAGACGCTGGCCAGGAGGGGCACAAGCACATACCTGAGTGTGTTCATGTGTTCAGAGGGAGGCAGGTGAGCAGCACACCTGTGTGGCTGGGACAGGCAGCAGAGCCTGGGAACAACCACAGCCAGGCCTTGGGAGACCATGCAGAGGGCCCAGGGAAGGGGGCAGCACAGGGCATTGTGAGGACCACAGACCAGGGACCTGGCCAGCCAGGGAAGCCTCGAAGTCTCCTAACCTGTGTTCCTGCAGGAAGAGCCGGAGAGACGCCCTTCCTCCCACTCCCACCTGCTCTTCTCTTGCGGCACACTTTGTGCAAACACGTTTGGAGCTTTTTTCCTCCCAAATAGACTCCAGGTCTTCTGTTAGGGACAGGAAGGCAACTCACTGGCCCCAAACTGGGTTCAATTTCCAACTCTTGGCACTAGCCAGGTGACCTTGGGTAGGTCATGGAACCTTCCTTTCCTTTACTGTAGCAAGCCTTGTAGGATGAAGCTGTTCCCTGGAGCTCAGAACCCCCTCCCCTGCCCAGAACCCCCTCCCCTGCCCCTTCCCCTCCATCAGAGTCTGTGCCTGTCCTTGAACCTGTCCAAGCATCCACAGAGTGGTTACGAGCCAAGCCGAGCCAAGCCGTGGCTCTGGGTCTGCATCTCTGCATTATTGTTGTGTGACCCTGGTGACTGTTACCCTCTCTGGACTACAGTTTCCTCATCTGACAAAAGGGAAGGGAATGGTCACTATGGTACTCTCCTCATGGGCTTGCACTTAGAGCAGTCAAGGCCACAGCTCTCAATACATGTTAACTCTTGTTATGAGCAGGCTACTGGGGGACAGCAGATGGGGATGAGTGCTGCCTTGGGGCTGGACTTTGTCTCCCCTACAATTTGCAAGACCTTCGGCATCTGGAACCCCAGCCTCGCCCCACACCTCCCGCCTGCCTTCTCTCGGGCCTCCAGCTATCACCCCAACAAGCCACCCACAGGATGTGGTCGACCCTGGACTTGCCTCTTTTGCGTAACATTTATTCAGTTTGATTTGCCAAATATGAGAGTCTGAGTTGTCACCAAGGGGCCAGTGACAGGCAGGGCCTCTGGGGAAGAAGCCCCAGTGCCYCCTCCAGCCCTCCCAGGAAGTCCCAGGGAATCTCTGCTTTGCCCGTCTCTGGCCTCCAGCCAGTGTAAACCTGTCACTGACCCATCCATCTTAAGAAAGCTGCAGGCCACTGGGCCCTTTTCTCAGCTGAAGAARCTGAGCCGTTGGAGCCCAGCACCTCCAGGCTTTCTTCTGGGTCCAGATGCATTTGTATGGAACTGCCCTCAGACCAGGGCAGGGAGGAGGTCCCTCTCTGGGTTCTCTTTGGGAGTGGCTGAATCCCCCAGCCTTCCAGCCCCTTTCTGACCATTTTTCTGCTGTAGGTCACACCCTCCTGGCTCTGTGAGGAGGCGTGGGGCTGGCCCTGGCGGTGCCGGGAGCTGGTGCCTTGGGAGGAAAAGCTCTGGCCTTTCACTTTCACACTGAAAGGGAACCAGCCAGCACCTCCTGCCGTCACTTCCTGTCCCTCCTGGAAGGGTGGAAGCACCAGCCCCTGCCCTGAACCCCTTGGGGTCCCTGCCCTAGGCTGTGTGCGTTGCCCCAACTGAACTTTAATCCGGAACAATCTGGTTTCTCCCTGGTTAGCCGGCTGGTTCTTCCCCCACCCCCACCTCTGACAAGGAGCCACAGTGGAGCAGGGAGGGAGGTGACTCAGTCTGCCAGTGCACATCTGTGTCCCGTGGTCCCAGAAGCTCCGGGTGGGGCAGGAACCAGAAATCTCCCTGCACCTTTTCCCCACCCCCAGGTGTGTTGCAAGTGCCTGACCCTCCCCTCCACGGGGAGCCAGTGCTGCCAGATTCCTGGGTGGATCCCCACTTTAGGCAGATGGAATCTTGGGGAAAGTCCCGCAGCTGGTCTGGCCATTCAGGCGTTGTGGGAACCAGCCCAGGAACAGAGGCCTTGGGCCCACAGGCAGAGGACCCGGGCTGAGCCCTGCTGCAGGGTGAGGACCAGCTAGCTGGCCCTGTGGGCTGACCTGTCCCTCCTTCCCCCCAGCCACGGGAACAAGGAGGTGTTCTCCTGCCGGGGCATCCTACTGGCTGTGACCTGGTTTCTAGAGCGGGGCCACACCGACATCACAGTGTTCGTACCGTCCTGGAGGAAGGAGCAGCCTCGGCCCGACGTGCCCATCACAGGTGTGTGGGACTCTGGAGGTGACCAATATCACTGTCCCACAGCCCTGGTTCTCCTCAAGAGGACCCCTTGGGCAGGGCTGACAACTTCTAGACTTCGAGACCAGGGATCAACATCTCTTTCCGGGGCTTTTGTATTCCCCCAAACCCTGCTGTAAACAGTGGTCTAGATGTCACCTTGTCCAGGCCTCTGCCTTAGATACTGGGTGCCTCCCTTGTCCTTCTGGTGGCATGTCACTCATTCAGCATCCCCAGTGGCAGAGGGGCCGTGTGTCTCAGTGGTTAGGGCTGAGGGCTCTGGGCCAGGACAGTGAGGCCTGGCATTCTGACTGTCCATTCCTGGCTCTGTGACCCAGGCAAGGACCCCGAAGCCCTGCTCTAAATCTCGTTCCTCATCTGAAAAACAGGGTGGGGCAGGGTTTGGTACAGAGCCTTCCTCCCACCTGCTGTGGACCTGTGAGCTAATCTAGAGGTGCTCTCCTGGTGCCTGGTGAGTGTCAGCCTGTGCTAACCCCGGCCGCACGCTCTCGAGCCCCAGCCTAGATTAAAACTGCCATTTCTCCAGGAGTCTGGAGATCCAGGGGCAGGCTGTCTAGCTGTGAGCTCCAGGAGGAGTGGCCCCTTCCAAAGGGAACTCTGGCTTTGCCAGAAACTCTGTCCCTTGTCCAGGGACAGAGCCAGGACACTTCTTCATGGACCCCTACAGGACAGGCTGGGTCGACAGCCAAAGCCAAACCCCTCTGATTGAGCAGGCCTGATGTCAGAGCGTGAGAAGCCAAAGGGCCAGTTCTGTGCCCAGAGCCCCCCTGCAGCCTGGGCTCAGGTGTCCATAGTCTTCAGGCAGCAAACCAGCAGGGGCCTCCGCAGAACCGGTCTCCACCCTTGTGAATATGGGTTAACAGCCCCAGAGCCTGGCCACTGGGAGGTTAGGGAGCCCTGTGGCCTGGCTCTGGGTCCTGAGTGGGCCCTGACTTTCTCCCTGCCACCCCCAGACCAGCACATTCTGCGGGAACTGGAGAAGAAGAAGATCCTGGTGTTCACACCGTCCCGGCGGGTGGGAGGCAAGCGGGTGGTATGCTATGATGACCGCTTCATTGTGAAGCTCGCCTACGACTCGGATGGGGTTGTGGTCTCCAATGACACCTACCGGGACCTCCAGGGCGAACGGCAGGAGTGGAAGCGCTTCATCGAGGAACGACTGCTCATGTACTCCTTTGTCAATGACAAGTATGTTCTGGGGGACCCAATGAACTTGGCTCTGGGAGGCAGCCAGAGATGCCCTCCGGAGRGTGGGGCTGGTACCAGGCTCTGCTGGGTCCTATGGCCATTGGGAGCCACCACCTGGGCTCCTGGCAGCTTTGGGAGTRAAAGGGACAGAAGATATCCGGCTGGGACTAGGTGGGACGGGTGTTCTTTGATTCAGGGATGGAGAAGTAGCACTTGAGACAGGATGTGGTCAGCGTCCAGGACAGCCTGTCCAGCTGCACACTATTTCTCTTGAAAGCAGCCCGAGGCTGGGATACCTGTTGTGGTTTCCAGATGACCTTGGAAAGATCCTAGCCTGGGAGTTGCCCTAAAGGTGCCCCTGAGCTGTGGCCCCTGGGCTGGGGGATCCCCCTTCTATTTTGGCACTGTTCTGTCCTAAAGATAGGCCCCAGTTTTATTGCTGGATTTTCAGCAAGGCTGGATGTCCTCAGCAATTGGAAGTCCCCCTTTGTGTCTCCCACTCCTGAGAGTTCTTTTTGCCCTCTACAGGTTCATGCCCCCGGATGACCCCTTGGGCCGGCATGGACCCAGCCTGGACAACTTCCTGCGTAAGAAGCCACTTCCTTCTGAGCACAGAAAACAGCCGTGCCCTTATGGTGAGACCCAGCTGTGCCCTCCCCTCACCTGTGCCCTAGGTGCCTCCTCCTGGGTGGCACCATCATGGGACCAGCCAGCCCCAAGTTTCCCTGCCACCACCACCTCCTGCCCGACTCAGCCCACCTCCCTTCCCCTCTGCAGGGAGGAAATGCACCTACGGGGTCAAGTGCCGATTCTTCCACCCTGAGCGGCCCAGCCGCCCCCAGCGCTCCGTGGCTGATGAGCTCCGTGCCAATGCCCTCCTCTCACCCCCCAGGGCCCCTGGCAAGGACAAAAGTAGCCAGCGGTCTTCCGCTTCCTCTCMGTCTGGCTCTCTGCCTGCACAGGGTGAGCAGAGCAGCCAGGAGGGAAAGAAGCTGGGGACCCAAGCACCCTCAGGGCCCCGCCAGGAGGGGCTGACGCAGACCTTTGCCCCTGCGGGCAGGGGCCGCCCACCCAGCGGAGGCAGCGGCGGCCACTTGGGGCCCACAGACTGGCTCCCGCAGACCCTGGACTCGCTCCCATACATCTCCCAGGACTGCCTGGACTCTGGCATCGGCTCCCTGGAAAGTCAGATGTCAGAACTGTGGGGGGTTCGGGCGGGAGGCCCTGGTGAGCTGGGACCCCCYCAGGGCCCCTACTCTGGCTACCGCCATTATGGGTCGGAGCTTCAGGCTGTGCCTGCCTTCCCTGCCTTTGGACGGGCCATGGGTGCCGGCCACTTCAGTGTCCCTGCTGACTACACGCCCCCACCACGCGCRTTCGCATCCCGAGAGTACTGGTCTGAGCCGTACCCGCTGCCCCCACCTACCCCAGTCCTCCAGGAGGCCCCCGTGCCAGGCCCAGGGGGTGGCGGGGGTCCCTGGGGTGGGGCGGGGGTCCTGGCCAAGGAGCGGGCCAGTGTGTACACCAAGCTTTGTGGCGTCTTCCCCCCGCACCTGGTGGAGGCCGTGATGGGGCGTTTCCCGCAGCTCCTGGACCCCCAGCAGCTGGCGGCGGAGATCCTTTCTTACAAGTCGCAGCACCTCACTGAGTGAGCCAGCTGCGTGGCCCGMAAGGGGCTCCCAAGCCAGCCCCGAGGCCGCCTGGATGCTGGGCAGAGGGAGAGTTCTAGTAGGGAAGGGACCCCCACCTAAGATCCTGTAGGATTGGCTCTGGCGCACGTGGCACCCGCAGCCTGCCCTGTGGGCCAGAGGCGATCGCCCCGTTGATGCACATTGTATCTCGTTTAAGGAGACGCTGCCKATTAGGCCGTTGGTCCGTGGCTGAGGCCCAAACCCTCTTTTCTCTCAGAGGGCGGGGAGAGAGGTCTGGGGGAACAGAGGCCTGGGCAGGGCCCCCACCTCCACCCCGTCCCTGGGACGCCGGCGTGGCCGGCTAGTTGGGCACCGTGTGCCTGCCCTCCAACACCCCTCCCGTAAGCCAATGAGGCCTCATCTGCACCCCTTGCGGGTCGTGAGGCTTCATGTCAGTAAGCAAGATGCTTCTTAAAACCCACCTCTACCCACTGTTTACCTGCCCCACCACTCCTGCCAGGGCTCAAGGGCCTCTGTCCCCACCCTGTCTTCTGCGCCCTTCCCCAAAGGTGAGGGGACATGTGTATGCTGTGTACAGTTATAAATTTGAAATATAGGTGGAATGTCCTTACCTGTAAGACATCAATAAAAATCAATGTGAGCCCTTTTGGGAGGTGATCATCTTGGGGGGGGTGGCGGGGCAAGCTGACCTGCCTCCCAAGGGAACCATGCTATGCCGTGCCCTGACCCTCCTCTGGAAGGCAGGTTTCCAAGAGTGCTGGGTCTCTTGGAGATGAGGCATCTTTCCTGTGGCCTCCGGTTGGTCCTCTGTTGGAGGTGGCTATTGACACAGGAAGGGTTTGGGACAGGATGTGGGGGTTAAGCAGAAGTGTAAGGGTTTAGAGTCCTGTGGCTGCAGCATGGGGAGGGATGGCTCTGAGGGGTAGTAGAGGGTTTCTCCTTTTTTGTGTGCTGACCAGAGCTGAGGATGGCAAAGGAGTGAGATGGTGGTTTCTGGGGGCTTGGAGCAGGTGTAGAGGAGCTCCTCGGTGCTCAGTGCTGGCCCCATCTTCTAGATGTTGCCTTGCTCTAGAAATGGGGCTGCAGGGCTGGGGAGGAGTGCTGGGCAGCAGCAGCTGGAGAGACAATGCCAGGGGGTCTTCCAGGTTAGGCCTGGTCTACTCTCAAACTCAAGAACTGGCTCTGCCACTGACTCTATCATCTGGGGCAAATGATTGGCCCTCACTGGGTCTCCAGTTTCCTCATTTATGAAATGGGGATAATAATGGCACCTACCTTGGGGTTGTCATGGGGATTACAGGAGATAACGTATGCTAGGTGTGTGACCCCAGACTTGGCACATAGCAACTGCTCTTCAAGAGGCCTCTAGAATGACCCACTGCTACGTTTGCAGAGTTTCCACCTTCATCCAGTCTTAACTTCTCATCTGACCTCAGAAAGAGACCTTTCTTTTCTTCCTCTCTCCCTTTCCCTTGCAGTTGAAAAGATGAGTGTGATTTTTTTTTTTCCTTTTGATACTGGGAATTGAAACCAGGAGTACTTTACCACTGAGCCACATCCCCAGCCCTTTTTTAAAATTATTTTTTTTATTTTGAGACAGTCACCCTAGGTTGCTGAAGGTCTTGCCAAGTTGCTGAGGCTAGCCTCAAACTTGTGATCCTCACACCTCAACCTTCCCAGTTGCTGGGATTACAGGCATAAGCCACTGCACCTGGCTGAATGTTAAATATTTTAAATGCAAAAGGTCATCAAATGATTCTCCAAACATACATTATTGGTCAGGTAAAATGGATAAAATGCAGTTTCAATAATTGTGTCTTGAACATCTCACCTGACTTGTACTTTGTCATGAGGCTTTTATAGTATTTGCATTTTCTTTTGGAGGAACTGCTTCAGCACAGAACAGCTGTAAAGCACGTGGGAGACAGTGCCATCGTGGCCAGCCCTGTACCTGGGGCCTCACCACCTTCTTCACCCTGGAGCAGCTCCGGAAGCCAGTGCTTCCAGACAGAAATCAAGGAGGGATTCGGCACTCAGGACTTTGGCAAGCAGTAGCTCAATCTCCCACTGAGTGCTGTTCAAGGCACCGCTGCCTGTTCCTTCCAGATGACTCAGGTGTTATCTACACAGGGAAATGCCCTCGACCTATTTTTATTTTTTTCCAATCAAGAACTATATTCTGGGGGGCGGGGGGGAGTGCTGGAAAGTGGAACTGGCCAAATCATATGGTCACACCATGTGCATACAGGAATATGCAGCACCAAATCCTATCAACACTTACAACTAATGCACAAAAAAAAAAAAAAAAACAGGTAGAAGAAAATAAAGGTAAAAAATAAATAAAGGACTGTATTCCAGATTAAAAGGCTATTTATGGGCCTGTTTGTTTGGGCAGGAAGCTAAAATACCGGACCATTATCGGCCACTTGGCAATGTTGAATGACTTGCCCAAGGTCCCATGGAGGAGGACTGGCTGGGCCAGGGCTTGAACACTAGTCCTTGGCCCCCACACCTGAGGAAGGGCAGCCTTGGCACCTGCTTGCAGCACCTTGGGCCTTGGAGGGACACAGGGTGCCCTCAGCCTCTGAGTTTGACAACATTCCCATGAGTTCTCTGGCAGCAGGTGGGATGGTCACTCTACCCACCCGCTCAGCAGCAGGTGCCACAGCCTTGTCTTGTGTGTGCCACAGGGGTCACCTGGAAGTAGGGCACTCTCTCACACCTGTTCCTGAACCAGAGCTGAACTTGTGCTCATGTGCCCTCCTGCTCTGTGGGTGTGAGGGCAACCAAGTATTCCCGGGGCAAGTGGGCAGTGGTGTTAGTCCCAGCCGGCTGCAGCTAATGGCAGGAGGCTGGGTCTGGCCTTGCTGGTTCAGATGGGCACCAAGGAGGGCTTGTGCAGCAGGCACCAGCCAGGGCCAAGCCCTCGGGATGGCTGGGTCAGTTCAGCACCACCAACGGCCCATGCTAGCATCCTGCACTTTTCTGACAGGCTCAGCCCGGCTGGGCCTGCCGTCCAGTGTTTAGAGCCTCCCCTCTGAGCCTCTTCCTCAATCTGGCTTCCGGGCAGAGCTACTCAAGTTGCCAGGTCCAATGCCAAGGCTGTTTTTTTCCCATGACTTGGGTTTTAACTCCAAAATTCTACTACCTCCTGCCCCACTGCCTGTTCAAGCAGCTTAGTCAGGTGGCATTMACTCACGGGGTCTCAGCCTCACCACCTATAAAAGAACACAGTGATCCTTGTCTTTTTCTAGATTTGACAATCTGATACTTCAATTCATGTAGTGGCAGCAGGAAAGACCTGGGTTCGAGCACCACTCATGGACTGTTCAAGACAACTTATTTCCCTTCTTAGGGCCTCAGCTGCCTGGCCCACCCAGCTCCACGTGAGCTTCCAGGGAGAGGGTGGCAGACACGGACAGAATATGATTCCTGAGACCAAAGCTCAAGCCACGAGGCGTGGACTAGAAGGGATCAAATTCCAAGTAGCTGCCCCACTTGCTTTTTCCTCTTCTTGTTTTCCTGGTTCCACAAGCCAAGAAACTGATGGGGAAACCAGAGATATGCAAATTCCTGCATGCTGGGAAATGATCCTGGGGAGCCACAGAGGACAGCTGCCTGCCCACCTTTTCCCACCATGGGTCCCCACCCGGCCCTCAGGCTCTCATCAGCAGCAGGGGCTGACCCTGAATTTTCTTGCAAGCTCTGTCTTGCAGGAGTTACTCTGAGGCACAGACTGTGTGTAAGACAGGAAACCTCCAGCCTCCTGGGCCTCCCTCACAGCAGAGACTCATCAGCCCACAGTGAGATAAAACTTCCCTGCTCATATGTCCCTGCCCACTCCATCCCATCACACTCCTTCAGGCTGAGGGGAAATTGGGCAGTCTCTGAAGATCGGGAGACCTAAACTAAGGGCAGGAGAGCTTTGGGCTCGAGGGGATCAGCCCTCCCAGTGCTGTTAATCCCCAAATATTGCTAGTCTCTTGCAGGGCAAGAGACCAGATAGTAGCTGGGAAGGGGTCAGCACTTACCACAGATGCTATTTCATCCCACTTCCCAAGTCCTCTGCCCTCCCTCCTTCCCCAAGACTCCCCCAGGCACTGAAGGGCAACCTGCACATGTCCTCTAACTGGACCCAAGGGAAGTGGTAGGCAGGCCTCTACCAGACTGCCTGAGCCTAGGAAACAGGAGTCGCCAGGGGCGGGGCCAACAGCCTGAGCCCTGACTCCCAGGTAAGGCAGTCCAGGGCCCTGCTCAGACCTCTAGCTCATTCTTTTTCCCTAGCCCGTAGCAAAGTGGGTGGAGTACAAGTGGTAAATGTCTGTTCTGGGGACCTCCTAGTTCATGGGAAGGGTGTGGGAGATTTGGCTGAAAGAGACAGGAAGTAGAGCCCTGCAATTAAGGAAACCCAAGTCATCCCAGGCCACAGCATGCAAATACTTCCAGCCAGTTCCTGGAGGGGGTGGCGGCCCAGCCTGGCACCTCTGGGTGTGGCCTCTTGGAGCTCCTCTCAAGGCAGCTGCTAGTGAACTTAAACTGCTCACCAATTTAAGAAATGGCAKAAGACTAGGTGGGAGGAAAGGATCAGGCACCCCACCCAACATTAAGCCAGGTCTGCTGCTGGGAGGTCAGGTCACTGGAAACCACCCAAAGGCTCCCATTCTGGCAGCACTCCAGAGGAGGCTCACTGAAGGCATGTGGTGTCTTGCCTGCCACCTGCTGGTGCCTCCTGGCACTACTGCCTGGGGAAAACCCTGCCTACTCCCTGGGATGACCAGCACTGGCCTGGAATGATGGGCCTTGGAAACAAGAATCTAGAATATGGCAAATGACATGCTAAAGCAAAAGCAGGGAACTCCTTCTTTGTTAGCAGGATTTTTTTTCCCTGAGACTGGAGTCTCACTGAGTTGCCCAGGTTGGCCTCAAACTTGCGAACCTCCTGCCTTAGTCTTCTGAGTCAGTGGGGTGAACCAGGCATGAACCACCTTGCCTGGTTTATGCCTGTCTCTTTTTCTTCTTCTTCTTCTTCTTCTTCTTCTTCTTCTTCTTCATTTCTGGGGATAGAAGACAGGGCCTAGTGTACTAGGAAAGTACTCCACCACTGAGCTACACTCCAGCCCTTTTCAAGTTCATCTTGAGACAGGGTCTCACTAAGTTGCCTAGGGGCTCACTAAATTGCTGAAACTGGCTTTGAACTTGTGATCCTCCTGTCTCAGCTTCTCAAGTTACTGAGATGACAAGCATGCACCACTACTTGGCTAAAATAGGGGATTCTTAATGACTTGCAACCAGAGGTCACTGTCATACCTTCTACAGTCTAAAATTCCAGAAGGTTTTGACTGTTCCAGGTAACAAATTATAAAAAAAAAAACAAAAAAACAAAAAAACAAAAAAAACTCAGGTTGGTGATATAGCTCAGTTGTAGAGCACTTGCCTAGCATGCATAGAGGTACATACCCCTCGACTCAGCAATACCAATGCTATGAATTTATCCCACAGGTGCTCATTTGCAAAATTACATGTGTTAAGGCTATTTACTACAGGACTGTCTGACACAGCAAAAGATGGGGAACAATATTAATGTCAGCAACAGGGCACTGGCTGTATAAATTCTGATACCCACATGCAACAGAACATTAAGGAGTCAGTAAAAATAAATAGCTGAACACTTTTTGCTAGATTGCTAAATTTAAAAAGCAAGGATAGAAATAGTGCATATTACACTACTACTTCCTTTACCCATTTTTGTAAATAGACACGTGTGTACACTGCTCATACATGTACCAAGTTCCTCTGAAGGAACACAAGACCCTCAGAGTTGTCTTTGGGAAGGAAACTGGTGGCTGGAGGTTAGGAGGACTTGCTTTTCCACTGAATACACTTCAGGACCATTTAAATGTATGCTAGTTTCATGTTGCTATGGTTTGAATGTTGTTTTTCCCCCAAATTCTAAACCCCAAGGAGATGGTGTCAAGAGGGAGGTCTTTAGGAGGCGATCAGATAATGAATGGAAATAATGGTTTTTTGTTTTTTTTAGAGAGAATTTTTTCATATTTATTTTTTAGTTCTTGGCGGACACAACATCTTTGTTGGTATGTGGTGCTGAAGATAGAACCTGGGCCGCACGCATGCCAGGCGAGCKCGCTACCGCTTGAGCCACATCCCCAGCCCATGGAATTAATGTTTTTATAAAAGAGCTTGTTCCCCTTCCATCATGTGAAGGACTAAGAACCAGAAATCAGGCCTGCACCAGAGGCTGAATCTGCTGATAGCTGATCTAGATGTACTAGCTTCCAGAGCTGAGAAATGTTTACGATTTATAAGCCATCTTAGTTTATGCTAATTTTGTTATAGCAGTCCTAACAGACTGACATATGAATTCAAATTAATTAAATATTTTAATGTCCCCCATTCTGGGATACAGAAATAAGTTTTGGGGTTACCAGTAAGTGGGTAGCAGTAGGGAGGGCTATACTGGCCAAAGGTCAAACTTGGATCAGGTGCAGTGATACTAGTAATTCCAGTGACTCAAAAGGCTGGGGCAGCAGGATCCCAAGTTCTAGGCCAGTCTCAGCAACTTAGGAAGACCCTGTCATAAAAAATAAAAAGGGGGGCTGGGGTTGTGGCTCAGTGGTAGAGTTCTCGCCTACCATGCACAGGACACCAGGTTCGATCCTCAGCACCATATAAAGATATTGTGTCCACCTAAAACTTAAGAATAAATATTTTTTTTTAAATAAAAAAAATAAAAATAAAAAGGATTTGGGATGTAGTTCAGTTGTAAAGCACCCCTGGGTTCAATCTCCAGTGCAAAAAATTTTGGAATATATACATCTATAACAGGTATGTGTTATTAAACCATGATAGATGTTTTTGTTTGTTTTGTGGTATTGGGGATTAAACTCAGGAGTTCTCTATTACTGAGCCACATTCCCAGCCCTTTTTTWAAAAAATATTTATTTATTTATTTATTTTTAGTTTTCGGCGGACACAACATCTTTGTTGGTATGTGGTGCTGAGGATTGAACCCGGGCCGCACACATGTCAGGCGAGTGTGCTACCGCTTGAGCCACATCCCCAGCCCATTCCCAGCCCTTTTTATTTTTTGAGACAGAGTCTCACTAAATTGCTGAGGTTGGCCTTGAACTTGTGATCCTCCTACCTTGGTGTCCCAAGTTGTTGGGATTATAGGCATGTACCACTGTGCCTGGCAATAACTTTCATTTTTAATAGATCAAAATGATTTGAATATCAGCAATTTCTTGTGGTTCAACCTAATATTTATTTATAAATTATCTGCATGTAGTAACGAGCTAATATTTACTCATATTATACAACACATTCAAAGTGAAGAACTACATAATGCTGATCTCAAAAGTGAAGCACACATCAAAGTCCTAATCTTTCCTTCCCACACCCCCGGGCCATCCTCCATACCCTCTCCCTTGGAGACCACTACCCTGAGGATCAACACCAAATGCACACAGCCCTACCAGTAATGACAACTTTTACTCCAGAAAACTGTTTGAAATCATGAAGTTTACCACTTAGAAGATTCAGACATAATACTCWTTTAGAATGTCATAGAATGAAAGTTCCAATCGCTTCCCATCACCACTGTATCACCTTCCTAGGCACTGAATACACCACCCTGGAGAAGTAAAGGTGCACAAAACACAGTCCTGTACTTTCTCCTACCCAAACAGCATGGAGTCAGGACTTCAGATGTGACTTTGCTTCAGAAATCCAGAGAAGGCTGAGGGACAGAAAAGTCAGAATACAAAAACGAGGAGTGCTGTATTTCACCACATAATCATCACTGATGCAGTAACATATATTCACGAGTATCCCATGCATTCTAATCTTACACCAAAGATAGTTTAGTAATAAATAATTTTTAAGTTAATACGAGCATGAGTTCTTTTTTAAAAGAGAGAGGGGCTTCACATAAAGTTGCATCCCACTTTAAAAAAAATTTTTTTGGCATAAAATCTGTGATGATTATGCAATGAAAAACGGTATTTCAAAACAATACATGTAACCACTTGCAAGCAAGTGTAGGCTATTTAACACTCATTTCAATGCTCTTATTTACTGCATGGGTCAAGATGTCAAGCTCACTCTTCACAGGATATTTAGAGTACTTACAGTACCCAGAAACCAAGGGCTCAAGTATGGAGGCAGAAATACTGCTTCCTTCTCTTACAGAACAAAGGATCTTCTAAGCAAATAGTATGAACTCCTTTGTGGGGAAAATGTTTGACCCATGTCATGACTGATCAATTTCTTTCTGTGTTCCAAGGCCCCTAAGATATATGGCCTCTCCAGATCACCACAGCAGCTTGGAAGGCCTCTATAGGTTCCCACTGGCCTTGCCCATAGCCCTCCCCTAGGCCCCAAATGGATTTCCAGGCTTCTACTCTGTGGTTTACTCCTGCTCTCCATCTTCAACTTGTTCGGTATGATGGGTTTAAAACATTCTACATTTAAATAGAATGAACCATTTTCCCAGTCCTCAGAGGGGCCGAGTTCACCTGAGACTCCCAGGAACTCTGCGCTGGCACTGTGCTCCTAGTAGGAGACAAAAATGTTACAAGGGCCTTGACTTTTTATTCTAATGTCATATCTACTAAGAGGAGCAAAGGAAAACCTATTCCCAAGTTTAAGAGAAATGTAAAGTACAGAAAGTGTACCCAGATGGCAGAAACAAACATGTACGGCCCCCTCAGTCTTCCCATTCCCACTTTAGTCCCTCTGGAATAGGAAAAAAGAGAAGAAGGAAGGATATATTCCAGGACACAGCTTCCTCAATCAGCTCTAGTTCTTTAAACCAATTTGTTCAGTAACCTATAATGTGTAGCAAAGCACTACTCAAAACCCAACTGAGGGCTGGGAGCACTTGCCTAGCACATGTAAGGCACTGAGTTCAACCCCAGCGTCGCATAAAAATAAAGGGACTGTATCCTTATACAATTAAAAATATTTTTTAAAAAAACTGAGCCAGTGAGGGCAGGCCTGGGAGGAAGCATCTTCTCAGTGGTCCTCACAGAAGGCCCAGTTAAGAGGCTGCATCAGGGCTAAAGTGGGAGAACACAGCCACCCAGTGGATGGACTTGCTTTTTTCTTCAGTGCTGAACCTAGAGCCTTGCACATGCTACCAATGTTATCCATCCACTAACATTAATGTCTCTTCAGGTTGGCACATTCACTCACAAGCAATCTAACTAATAACCAAAGTTAAGTATTACAAGCACAATGGTGCACCCCTTGGTGCTTTTTTCTAAAATATCCCCATGTAGGGAAACTAAGTAATCTCTCAGACCAGTATCCCTGGCCAACTTACAGGAAAACTGAAAGGTCTGCTAATCAGCGGTTAAACTTTATATAGCTATAAAGCCAGTAGCCTGCCCATAATCATGATTTTTATATACACACAGGTGTAATCACATAGATACATTTTTATTTTTTATTGGTACTGGGGATTGAACCCAGGGGCACTTTAGCACTGAGCTATATCCCCAAGTCCTTTAATTTTTTAAAAATTTGAAATAGGGTTTCCCTAAGTTGTTCAGATCCTCCCTAAATTCCTGAGGCTAGCCTTGAACTTGTGATCCTCATGCCTTAGCCTCATGAGTTACTGGGATTATAGGTGTGTATCACCATACCTGGCATAGATATCTTTTAAACAATATCTTTAGAAGGGCTGGGAGTGTAGCTCAGCAGTAAAATGTGCTTGAGGCCCTGGTTCTACCCCAAGCATTGTAAAAATAAATAAAACAAAATAAATAACATACCTTTTAAACAACAATACTACTGCATCTCTAGCAAATGCCAAACTCTGAGTGTCAGAGATATTTTAAAGTCAGCCCAGCACTTTCCTTAGAGGTAAGGAAAGTGCAGGAAATCTCACTCTTCCCTCTTGGAAAAGGAGATGAACTGACAAAGAAGGACACAGAATACTTCAAGGTTTTTGTTTTAAAGGAACAATCTAAGAAACTATTTCCTTAAAACATTGCAACATTGGAGTTCTGCTGCCAAAGACATAGCCAAAGATGTCTAAATCATCACAGAGAAAAAAAAAAAAAGTTTATTTGAGAACAAAAGTGAAAGCTTTTGCACACCTGACAAGGCAGCTTTGTTCTGATAACAGATGCCATCCATATTCAGCTCCACTGAGATCACAATGAACATATTTCTTCTTACAAAGAGATGGGCATACATAAAGGACTATGACTAAATAGAGTCACGGAAAGGCAAGGCCCAAATCTTAGAATGATTCACAGCATAGCACTTAATCAAAGTATTCAGTTTCCTAATGCAGTGGCTCTCCACATGGCTTCTTATCAGCATCACCAGGACCCTTTGAAAAGAAATCCTAGTAAGCAGGCTGTATGGACCCTAGGGTCTCTGGGAGCAGGGCCCAGACATCAGCATTTTTAGGGTTCCTAGGTGATTACAATCTGCTGCCAAAGTAGGCGACCACTGCACTGAATCAAGCACAATCATCAGCAAGTTCCTCTGCCTACTGACCCCTGCAAGGACAATGTCCCTGAGGCAGTGCTGGCTCTGCTGATGCTACCTTTCACTCCGYTCAAGAACTTACATTATCAGCTTCTGGTGGAATTTTGAGACTTTCCATTGCCTTGGTGATTTTTACAGCAATATTTAATCAGGTGATTACTAACAAAAAGATGGGAAAAAAGAAATTTCCAATAAGGCATGATATGAATAAATAAGTAAAAAAACAATCTCAGGTTTAAAAGTAAAGCATGAGAAGTCAAAGCCTGTGAAATTTTATTTATACAAAAGAATAAAAATATCTATTTTAAAAGAACTGATTTTAACTTGTGTTTTTCCGCTTTTCCTGTTCCTTGAACATGAAACTGCTTTCAACTCAAAGATTTAAGATAGGTAATTTTTGAATAAACACTCTTTACCTTCCTCCTGCAAGAAAACAAAGAGCCAAGTTTCCCATTTTACTATGGTAAGCCACATTATTTTCAGTTGGAATATTGGCAACTGCATGAAATAGATTACCAGATATGTTGGCAGGAAGGTATGAGCTGTACAAAGGCATTACAAAAAGTCCCCAAAGAAAATGAGATGGTAAAATAACAACAGAAAATAAAACACAACAAAGTAAGAGAATGCCAGATATTTACAGCCTACATCATTGTGACTTGTGTTCTACTTAGCATAAAAGAAAACCAGAGAATATTTCTCAACAGGGATCACAGATGTGGCTGGCAGCAGCCAGTTTGGGGAAAAATGTTCATTCTAAGAAGGGAGAAATGCACAGTTAACAACTTGCTGCGATTATAACCATGTCTTGGTCTTCCTGCAGCTCTGTTACTAAAAATGACACAAAGCAAATGATCCGATGTCTTACAGAAATGACTTGTTTGTCACAACATTTAGAACAAACTACTCAGAGTCACAGGCACTGGGTCTGGGAGAGCAGAGGTGGATGGCCACGCACTCAGGTGAGGGATGTTTATCTTTATCTGTATGAGGTCGGAGAAGGGAAGCAGAGCTCTACAGCCTGGAGGCTTCTGCACTAATGAGTCTTCTAATAGTCCTAAAGAGAAAGAAAGAAAAATCTCAACTTACTCAACAAAACACTCATTTCAATCTAGAGAAAAAAAAAATCTCACAAACAACTGTGCTAGGGGATTGTTCTATACTCCAAGATATCTCAAATGTAATGTAGAACATTTCACAACGGAAAATGGCCTGTCTTCTGAGTCTATAAGGAAAATCAACTGAAACATCAACTCTGCTCTTGCTAGACCTAAACTCACCAGCCCTCCCCAAAAAAAGGAGTTAGTATCAACAACTTGTTATTTAATCAGAGGGAATTTTTCTTCAGTAAAAATATGCGCAACTGCTCTTTCTCCAAAATAAAGCAAATATTATCTAAAAGTTGCAGTATATACAAATGGACATCCCAGACTTTAAAATTAGAGTGTGACCCAGATTAGAGACACTCAGACTCTGAAGATGATACATTTTCCTAATCATCTACAAAATTTCCAGCCTTTCTGAAGTAGTCTGGCTGATACTTACAGCTCGTGGTTTTTTGTTTAACTTCAGATCAATTCTGTGATAGGAAAGATAAAAGATATTTGCATTTTAATTTACAGAAAAAGGGTCCAACAATTAGCTATTGCATAGGGCATAAGCTATAACAAAGGCTATTTGGTTAAGTAAAATCCACATTCTTCATTAGACTATGTCATATTTAGTTGTTTACCCAGATATTAAGCAAGTATTAAAAAATATGAGCAGATACTTTTGCCATAAGGTAAACTTGGATAATTTAAAAAGAAATATACAGCAGTTGCAAAAGTCATTTAATCTTTTAAAAATATTCCAAAGTTACATGTTAAAGAGATTGGATTAAGAAGGCATGCTCTATGTTAATATGTTAGCTTTATAACTATATCACTGAAAATTACTGAGACATGTGGTGATTAAGAATAGAAGAGAGACTAGAAGTTTGTATTTCTGGACATGAAACACAAAAGAAATTACATGAATTTCAATTTTTAAATCTTTCCAAAGCAAAATATCAAAATCTTTTAACTATTAATCTCCTTATGAAGCAAAGCCAGAAAATCAATTTAAATATGAATTAAAGGTTATCTATTTAAAAAGAAATTAAAATGCATAAAAGTGAAGTTTACTTAATTTTGCTTAAGTTATTAAATAAAATGTTACCTCCATCACGTTTTTCTGTTTTTAAAAAAAACTTCCCAGCCTAACCTAATATACATACCTACAATTAAACAGATAAACTATGGGTTAGAAAGGTCTCAAAAAGGCATACTGGTGTCTACATACTAAAAAACACAGCACAAATACTAATTCAAATCAAACTTACTCAAAGTCATAATCAAACATGCCAGACGGGCTGAGGGGCAGCATTTGAAAGGAAGAAAGCAATAGAAATTAATACACTAATTGAATAAATTAGTCGATTAGCCACCCTAGCAAGATTTATAGAAACAAAACCAGCTTTAAGATCTTAAGCCATAAGTTTTAAACATGAAAGCACCAAAGATTCTGTGGTCAGAAGAATCCCTTCCCTCAACGGATTCCACAGCCAAAGAATAGACTATGAAAGAAAAAGTTATATCATTAGAAAACTACAGACACCTGGAGCCTTTTTATTAGCTGCCAGATTCAGAGTTAGAACTTTCAAAATATTTGTATCATAAAATATAATTAGGGCATTAGAAGAAACAGAGAAAGAAAGGTTTAGTCATATAATGAAAGGTGCTTATAAAACTCAGCATAATAGGCTTTCGATAAAGAAAGATGACAAAAACATTTTAAACTTTAAAAAAAGGAAAACATTTTGCAACTTGTACTCAAGTTTTATGTTCTAAATGTGTCCAGGAAACTGGTGCTCCATTGCTACAGCATTCATCCTAGAAGTCAGGGGTTGAATGAACATGCTGTAGGGTTGAGTCTTGTTCCAGAAACTGAAGAGTAAAACACTATTCGGCCCCATAAGATGGTGATGACAATTAATTGTTTATATCAAGGTGACATTTAACACCAAAGTCTGCAGAACCCCCCCCCCTTTTCAGAACCCTTTTTAAAACAAAGGAAAGTTGGCATCCATAAGCACCCCAGCCTCAAGGATCTGGAAGGGAGCAGTAGAGAGGAGGCCATTCTGTGCCATCACTGCTATAACAGATGATGGTCCAGGCAGAGCCCCAAAGCAAACATCAACTTGGAGCACGACACCAGCTCCACAGCTGACTCCAGTGCCTTTCACACTGTAGAAAAGGGGCAAAACAATATGCAAAGAGCTTTCCTCCTAGACCATGTTTACAAGAGTGAAATTGGAAGTTTAACTGCCATATCCCTTATGCAATAGTTTCATTTATGACATTTGGGAAAGAATACAGTGTACAAACCAGGAATTAAAAAATATTTTACTTTCAGCCTGACTTTAATTTTGTTCATCACTAAAATAGACAATAAAAAAATAAGACAAGCCAGGTGCGGTGGTGCAAGCCTGTAAATCCCAGAGCCTCAGGAGCCAGAAGCAGGAGGATCGAGAGTTCAAAGCCAGYCTCAGCAATTTAGCGAGGTATTAAAGCAACTCAGTGAGACCCTGTCTCTAAATAAAATACAAAACAGAGCTGGGGATGTGGCTCAGTGGTTGAGTGCTCCTGAGTTCAATCCCCAGTACCCACCGCCAAAAAAAAAGACAATTAAAAAACAGGGTGCAGCTCATTGGTACAGTATGTTGCTTAACATGTTCAATCCCTAGCACTGGAAATAAATATATAAATAAGAGTGTACTTGGTTAATCTTGGTTAAACTTGGGCTTGCTATAGTAGTAAAACTCTAACAGCTGTGAGTTATTCTTTCAATTTTTTCTTTAAAGACACTAGGACTTAATTATTGTTCAGATAACATACAAATGTAAGCAAGCATTCATTTGATCATTTATGAATGTTGAAAAACTGATATATTTTCATATTCCAGAAGAGGGCAAATTCAAGTTATTTCCTTCTGCTAAAGTACCATCTTAATTCACCACTAGACAGTGCCTCGCATATAGTATACTCAAACATTTCTTAAAATAGTCTACTATCAGCACCTTGGAGGAAAAACAACTATGTACCGGGTGCTGACCTACCAATATGCCTAGAGGACCTATTCCATCTTCACCCTGATCGGTCAGCACCACTAAGCCATCAGCCAGGGGCAAGGGATTTGGGCCAGATACAATTCCTCACTAAAGTTGGCAGGAACCCAAGCATCTTAACTGGCCCCTAAGATGCTACTAAGGTGTCCTGAACCTGGTTTCGCAAGAAAGAAAGCAAATCAGGTCCCCCCCTTCATTCAGGCAGATAAGCCCTTAAGGAGAAAGGAAAGACAGGGAAAGCAATAAAAATTAGGACCCTGCTCTCTGTATTGGAGACATCATTGACGAAAGCAATAACTAACACAAAAATCTTTATAAATGCTAGTGTTTTTCTGGGAGGAATTAGTTCCTAGGCCAGCAGAGGAAAGAATAAGAAATATAGATCCTATGGAAATTTACTAGAAAACTTCAAGAAGAAAGTTAATTAAGTTTCATGCCTGTCCAATTCCCTTTTGTCAATCTTCAGTCACTAATGGTCGGGTCATTAATGAAAATGAAGTATTACCTGAAATAAATAGCTGTCTAGAGAGTAAACTTATCAGTAATGGAAAAAGTCACAGACTTTTTTTTCAAGAATATTGTCCCTACTCTAGACTCTGAAATAGGAAAAGAATTACTTTAAAATGACACTGGACCTTAGTACCACACATACACACACATTTAAAAAAAAAAAAAAAAAACCCACTGGAGTAAATTAAATAAAAGCAACATAAAGCATAATATTTATTTATCTTGACAATTTAAAAAATTTTTCTTTAACGGGCTAGGGGAGTGTAATAGTGCTTGCCTAGCAAGCATGAGGTCCTGTGTTTGATCCCAACAACAAAAAATAATGAATTTTTTAAGAGTATAAGTATCTGCTGTTTAGAAGCCAGCACCAATACCATCATGGTGGTCAAATAATTCATAGCCCAAATAAAAAGCGAAAGCAAATTTTGCTATTTCCTACTACAGTTTTGAGGCTGGCATGGTGACTTCTGGTTTGCAGAAAAATGTTAAGCAGCAGTCCTTTGTCACTATTTGCAGGAAATACTATTTCACCATTACCATCAACAACAAAAAACATTCTTAAGTGAATTAAAGAATCAGCTAATGCCAAAGAGGTTCAAACCAGTGAGAATAAATTCTACATATCCCCATCCATATCCATAAAGCCAACAGTTTTAATACCGTGGGTACATGAAGGAATATCCTACAGGTTTCTAAAATAACACAATATYGAAGCCAATTGGAGGACAAAGAACCCCACCCAACCCTTGCATGCCCCTTTCACCTTTTCTGCATTCAGGCCTCCAAGGACAGTAGGACAAAGCCAGTCAATGCAAATCCAGTTTCCATGCCTCTCAGAAGGTATGAGGCCAGGACAAGATTCCTCACTGTAGAAACTATTTATTACCCTCTCTTAATGAAGCTGTGTAAATTCCAATTATCTGAGTTAACAGGCCCCAGCATTGTCATACAAACCCCAGAGAGAGTGAAAGCTAAAAATCCTCTCTGGAAGACACCTGACCTCTCTGTCCACTGATGTCAGGCCAAACTCATTATGTACTGCAAAAAACATGGTGGACAAATGTTCTCTAGGAAGGCACTGTCATATTTTATAGGCTTTATATTGTCTTCCAATATCTGAAGTTAGCATATTGCAGAGAAATACCAAAACAGAAAAACCATAAGCAATCAAAAAAACTTGTAATTAGAATAGAAAAAAGATGAGTCACATTGGTTCTCATAAGGCAGGAATCAGAATGAAAAGCCTCTAACTTTGCAGCTTTGCAAAACTTCCTAGCATCATGTTTCAAACTACATACATAGATGCCCTGGAGTCCATCTTGGCAAAATTGCCCACAGCTGGCCCTGACCTTTGACCCGAATCATTCAGGGTTACTCTGATACCCACCAAGTCCTCCCTAGAGAGAACACTAGCCCATTTCATTTGGCCCAAAGGAATTCTTGCCCATCCACAGTAGAAGGCTCTGAAACAATCCTATAGTATTTTACTCTAGGAAAGTACACGGAAGCTCTGGGAATGGGGTCCCTGTCACTGACCTGTGCCGGTTTTTATTCTTCCGTTTTTTATGGCTGCTGTGATGACTCCCTGAGGAAGTAGAAGAAGCAGCCTTCTGAGGTTTCACTCCCTGCACAGATCCATCCAGATCCTCAGGGTCCTCCTGGCTGGGCTCATTTTCCTGATTGTGGAAGTCTGGAGAAGTATCACTTTCTGTCCCACTTCCTGGCTCCCCTGGAAGAAATAAAACACAAATCCCCCCAAAACCTCAGACAACTGGTCCATTATCTGGAAAGAGTTTTTTGAGCATACATGCTAAATGACAGAGAAGATACAAAGTTACCAGAGTTCCTAAAAAACATGTAATCTGAAACAGTGTAACCAGGGGCAAGAGGTCTAAGGACAACTGGGAGTTTCGAACATACAACCAGGATAACCTCCCCGCATAAAGTTTATTTAAACATAGAATACAATAATAGGGTTAATAATTATACAAAAAGTGTGACTGAAAATATTAGATAGGTCTCCAGGASACAAGGGATGATCTTGACAAAATTGCCCACAGCTGGCCCTGATTCTTTACCCAAATCATACAGAAAATCTTTCTATCAAGAAAAGTTGGCCCCTGCCCCGAAAAACATACCAAAAAGGGAGAAGAGTCCATTCCCTAAATTACCTCAAGAAGTCATAAGTTTTTATTTATTTATTTGTTTGTTTGTTTGTTTGTTTATTTATGGTGGTATTTGAGATCAAACCCAGGGCCTCCTACATGCTAGGCAAGTGCTCTAAAACTCAGCTACATTCCCAATCCAAGAATGTTTTGAAAAAGCAGTAACAGTACTCTTCACCTGACATACGAGCCCTATTTTAAAAGTTCACTTGTTATACTAATTAAACAGAACCAAGCTCAAGAACATTTTAAGTATGCATTTATTCTTAAGAGTATAATTAGCAAGGTGCAATGGCACATGCCTGTAATCCCATCAACTCAGGAAGCTGAGGCAAGAGGATCACAAATTTGAGGCCAGCCTCAGCAACTTAGTGAGATCCTTTCAGTCAATAAAAACAGCCTCAGCAACTTAGTGAGATCCTTTCAATAAATAAACAAACAAACAAACAAATAAAGATGGGGGTGTAGCTCTGTGATAGAGTGCCCATGAGTTCAATCCCCAGTATGGGGAGAAGGTGATTTTAGGGCTAAGGATGTTGCTAAATGGTAGCGCTCTTGCCTACTAGCACGTACAAGGCCYTGAGTTCCATCCTCAGCCCAAGGAAATTTTTTAAAAATAAATTAAATTAAACATATTTTGGAAAAAAAACACACTAGTTTCTTTCCCTTTTAATATATACTAGTTTCTCCTGAAAAAAATTTTTTCTTTCTTCCTTTTTTTTTAGTATCAGGGATTGAACCCAGGGCACTTAACCACTTAGCCCTATCCCCAGCCCTTTTTTATTTTTTTATATTTTATTTAGAGACAGGGTCTCTGAGTTGTTTAAGGCCTCACTAAGATGCTGAGACTGGATTTGAACTTGCAATCCTCCTACCTCACCTTCCCAAGCCACTGGGATTACCAGTGTATGCCAGCACGCCCAGAAGGAAGGTGTTTCTTTTTTCTTTTAAGAATGGGAAAAGACGGGGGCTGGGGATGTGGCTCAAGCGGTAGCGCGCTCGCCTGGCATKCSTGCGGCCCGGGTTCGATCCTCAGCACCACATACCAACAAAGATGTTGTGTCCGCCGAGAACTAAAAAATAAATATTAAAAATTCTAAAAAAAAAAAAAAAAAAGAATGGGAAAAGAAGAAAAAAAAAAAGAATGGGAAATGATTCTTTTTTTWAAATTTTTTTTTATTATTTATTTTTTTAGTTTTCAGTGGACACAACATCTTTATTTTATTTGTATGTGGTGCTGAGGATCCCCAGCCCCAGGAAGGTGTTTCTTGAAACTTAATGGATAAGGATGGGGGAAAGATTTTCACTTTACTCAACCATCAATGGACCATAAATAAATGCATTATCTCTTGCTAAAAACTGTCAAAAGGACCAGGCACAGTGATGCATACCCTATAATTCCAACTGCTCAGGAAGCTGAGGCAGGAGGACTGCAAGTTCAAGGCCAGCCTCAGCAACTTAGCAAGACCCTATTTCAATATAAAAAAGGACTGGGGATGTAGTTCAGAGGGAGAATATTCCTAAGTTCTATCCCCAGTATCCCCCCCTCAAAACAAATTTTTTTTTATTGTATGGAAAGCACATCAGAAGTAGAGGAAAAAAAATTCCCAAAATATCAGAAGAAACAGCCAGATCTCAGAAATCATGCACTATTTTGAACACATTTCATAAACGCAACAGAAGAGGGAGCTCTAGAGCTATGAAACCAGAAAAAGTATCCCACCCTTCTAAAATTCAAAACTGATTTCACACACAAAAAAATTATTGCAAAAGGCTAGGTATGTGGCACCTGTCTGTAATTCCAACTACTCAGAACATTGAGTCAGGAAGAGCCCAAGTTTGAGGCCAGCATCACCAACTTACTGAGACCCTTGCTCAAAATTAAAAATTAAAAGGCAGGGGGGGATTGGGATGTAGTTCAGAAGTGGAACAGACCTGGGTTCAATCCTCAGTACTGAGGAGAAAAAATTACCAAAAGAGGACTGGAGTGGTAGCTCATTGGTAAAGCACTTGCCTATCATTTGAGGCCCTGGGTTCAATCCCCAGCACCATGTAAATACCTAAATAAGTAAATATTACCAAAAGATTCTAAAAACTGACTACCGAAGCTACAGTAATCAATAGTGCGTGATAGTGGCAGAAGCATAAACACATATATCAAGGGAACAGAATTCAGAATCCAGATATAAAACTGTACCTTTAATGTCAATTAATTTTTGAAAAGAGCAATAAGGCAAGCAATTCAATGAAAAATTTTTCAATAAACAATGCTGGACAACCAAATATTTACATGCAAAAGAATGAAGCAGGACTSGGCACTCCGGCCCATGCCTGTAATTCTAGTAACTTGGGAGACTAGGACTGAAGGATCACAAATTGCAAGTTCAAGGCCAGACTTAGCAACTTAATAAGGCCCTAAGCAATTTAGCAAGACCCTGACTCAAAATAAAAAATAAAGAGAACTGGGGATATAGGTCTGTGGTAAAGTGGCCCTGGGTTCAATCCCCAGTACGAAAACAACAAAAAAAAAAAAAAAAAGAAAGAAAAAAAAGATATAAAAAGTGAAATTTAAATTATCAAAGGAGCCTGGCACAGTGGAAAAGTTGGGCCCCCAGTTCCAGCTACTCAGAAGACTGAGGTAGGATAACTGGAGCCCACAAGTTTAAGACCAACCTGGGCAAAGTATTAAAAAATTAAATTAAAATAACTTAGCAAAGAATTTGAATAGATATTTCTCTAAAGATATATAAATGACCAATAAGTCATTCAGAAAGATGTGTTAGGCTAATACCAACCTGTTAATGTCAGTTACCTCACAAAGTTAGGATGGAAGTAGGAGTAACTTTTTTACATGACTAAATTACTTACCAYAATAAGAAGGGGTTACTTTTGTAGTTTTAAAAAAATCTAATGAGGGCTGGGGGTACAGCTCAATTGGTAGAGTGCTTGTCTAGCATGCATAAGGCCCTGTGTTCAATCCTCAGCACCACATCAAAAAAAAAAAACCAAACTAATGAAATATAAAACCTGAATTTAAGGAGAAGGATGGTCAAGACAGCCCTCCTTTCCCATAGACACACACACACACACACAAAAAAAATCATTTCTGAAAATACAACTCTGTGAAAGCACTGGTTGATGAGAAGAAGGCTGACAGGGCATGAGGCCACAAAGCTTTGCATCAGAGACAGGATGGCAGAAGGGACACAGGACTGGGTAAGTAAGTGGGCTGGATACAGAAGAGAAAAGGAATAACTGAAATATAAGAGACAGGCAAGAAAGGCAAGTTAGACACAGCAAATTCTGTCCATGCTGCAATTGTATTAAAGACACTGACAGGAAAACCCAACTGTTTTCTCATTCGGGGCAAGCTGCTGTGGCGCTACTAAGTAAATGAATGTGTCACTCACATTCTATAAGTACACTTAGGAAATAGTTTCAATCCTACCAAAGTCCTATGATGGAGAATTCACTTGTGTCCTGTCTCTGAAAAGATAACACCTGAGGCAATAACAGACACCTCAAAGGACTCATATGGACATGAAATACCACAGTAGTCGGAGAAAAGCATATTGTTCAGAAGAAGTTTCACTGAGGGACTAGAATTTAAAAGGGACTTTGAGGTTGGGGATATAGCTTAGTTGTAACTGAGGGCCTGGATAAATATTTTAAAAAAAACAAAACACCTAGAATTTAAAAAATGAAAAGCAAAAAAAAAAAAAAGTACAAAAAAAGCACAAGATAAGGTACATAGGTAAGAAAACACAAGGGACAAATGAATTAAATAGAGAGCCTGAGAAATGGAAGGTAAAATGGAAAGACAGGTTAATAAGTCATATTTGTCAGACTTGATCTAGGAAGACAGTATAAGGTGACAGAGAAATGACTTTTTGCTTAACCTTTTGAGCCTGTTCCCCCAACAGCAAAATAGGAATTCTTCCTCTCATGTGCAAACACTTGAATCTCTCTCATGGGCGAGGAACTAGCTGGACACAGTCCTTCGGCAACAGTCGCTGCTTCCATGGAGTTTGCAATCTACACCTATCCTCAGGAAGCAGCTCTAAGAATTAAAGAAGGTAATGCAAGTAAAGAACCTGCTCAGAGGGGCTGGGGTTGTGGCTCAGAGGTATCCCATGCAAGGCCCTGGGTTGGAATCTCAACTCCACATAAAAATAAATGAGTAAAATTAAGGTATTGTGTGAAACTACAATTAAAAAATAAACAAACAAAAGAAACTGCTCATAGTCTGGAACCTAGTAAGTGCTCAAATGTCGATACCTTTGAGATCTACAAACGTGCAAGTCAAACTCTAAATAGAGTGAAGACTATATGTAGTGAAACAACTGTGACAGAACAAGGGAAAGCTACCAGGAATTTCTGAATGACATAAAATGATCAATATTCAGCTCTTTGTACAGACCTGTATTGTAGGATTACTAGGCTGGTAGTGGTTTATAAGAGGGGTGGGAAGACTAAGTGCTATTAAAATACAAAGTAAGACCACAAAATAAGAAAAACATTTTTCTTTAGCTCATAGAAACACAAGAAGCATGCTCATAACAGG